GTAAGGACTTTTGGGTGGAGGGAGCATTTGGGTGGCTTTTAAGTTTTCACTATGATCAATAATGCATTTCTTCTGTTCTTAAAGGCTTATTACAGGAAATTCAGACAACAGCCAAGATTGTAGAATTATGTTAGAAGTTTTCCCTCAACCTGTCACCACTCCCCACAAAGATGACCACTGAAAATTGGTTAGTACCTTCTCAGAATTATTCTTGTACATAGGCAAAAATATGAGCACATATGAAGTTTTGTTTTTTTTAACACATACAGAAACTTCCTTTTCTCACTCATTTTACTCAACAAGCCTTCAGGAGCCTTTCTTTTGCCAGCTCAGTGCAGAGGGAGCTGCCACATTAGGAAGAAGATTTCTTGGAGAAGAGAACCATGTCAGTGTAAGACAACTTGGCAGAATGAGAATCCATTCAGCCTTCCCACAAACATTCTCCATCACCTATGTGTGCTGAACAGGCCTGCAGTTAGAGAGACCCAGGCTCAGAGCCCACCACCACACTGCCCAGCTGTGTGAAGGTCATGGAACCTTCCTGAGTACTTACCTCATTGTGCAGATTACGTGAGAAAGTATGTCAAAAGTTTGGCAGGGACCTAATGCATAGAGGGTGCCATGATGTCTCAAAACCTGAACAAGCTGGGCTTGAGGGTATGGCTCATGGTAGTATTGCTCAGCATATGTGAGGTCCTGGGTTTGATCCCCAGCACTGAAAATCAAGAACCAGACACAAAAATAGCTTCATGGCCCTCTATGGTCAGGGTGTATTGGGTGACTTTTTTTTTTTTCCTTACTCCACTGAAGAGCATGGACTTTTTTTCCCACAGTTTGCTCATTTATTTGACAGACAAGATCATTTCTTCCAGTTATGTTTTCCAAATCCTTATATGAACCTTTTGTAAAGAGACTATTATCACCCCTCATTACTAAGTCACCTTGAGCAAAAACTTGATGTCTCTGAACACTTTCTGTCTCTAAAATGGAGAAGAGTTAAATTAATCCTGTCTCTGCACCTGCCCAAGGCCACCTAGAGGACAAATTAGAATATTGCCATAAAAATGCTTTGTCAGCCCTACAGCAGTGTAGACAAGTGTGGGAATTCGGAGGTGTCCAGGGCAGTGGCCCCACTAGAAAATACATTCCTGGGAGGGCAAAAATGGACTCAGCAAACACTTGTCAAATAATAAATGATACTTCTTGATTGAAAAATAGGAGAATGCAAGTCCTGGGAGGTCTTTAGAAAGTTTACCAAGGGGGGAGGAGCGAGGAGGAAGGCAGATCACATCAGAGTGTGATCTTCTTTCCTCCCTCCCTCTCTGCCTTCTTTCTGTCCTTCCTTTCTTTCATTCATTCAACATATTCACTCCCCTGATTTGTTTAAGGGGAGGAAAAAGACACTGACAACAGCTTATTGTTTCACACACACTTCCCAGTTTACAGTGCACCATCACAGGATCACGCCTATTTTTTTCATTTGTCCCCTGAAGTAGGAAGTGCACTTCCATGTTAAAGATGTAGAGGCGGAGGCTCAAAAAAGTTATATAATCTCTCCAAAGTCACAGGATACAGTTGGGAACCAATGTACCATTCCTCCCGAGCACATTCACCATCTCACTCTCTTTCTGAAGGATCACCCTTACTTCCCGCTCCTCCAAACACTTCCTTTCCCAGGTTTTACTCTGGACCAACCATGCATCAATACAACAAATGTCTGGAAGGAAAGGGCTCTAAGTGCTTTCCCTTCCTGGGGGCCATGCATTCAATTAGTGTTTATTGAGCCTTGGGTTGGATGCTCCTTCTTCCTCCCTTCTTCTCTGTCCTTACTTACTGAGCACCCTTCGAGTATAGGGTCTTTCAGTAGATGTTGGGGAGACACCTGTGACCCAAAAAGGAGCCGTCCTTGTTCTTATGGGGTTTCATAAAAACTCTCAGCTGTCAGAGAGGAGGGGCTGCACTCAAGATTTTCTCTCCTCTTTGTCCGGGTTCTAATGGAATCTCTCCGTCCAGCAAGAACAGTCTTGTTTTCCTCCCGGTAATGGAGGAAAATCATTTCACAAGCCAGCGCGCCCTCTGGTGGCCAGAGTTGGGGACTGTTTGTTTCTGCTTGGGAACCCTTTTCCTGGAGCCAGGCTCAGGGAAGCTGTTTCCGCAGTCTTTGCGCCAGGGGCCCCCCACTCACCTGAGCCCAGCCCCACAACATCATTCTACTGTCCCTGACCACGAGGTGCTGCCCTCCCTCAAGGTCCCCCTCAAAGCCACTTGTCCCGCAACTTTTCACCTCAGTTTCCATCAACTCTTGACAGTACTTGATATTTCTCTGCACCAGTGTTGCTAAGGGGTGTGTCCCCTCTCTCCTACTGAGCAGAGGGGGCTTCCGGAGAGGGGAAGAGAACCCAGAGCCTCTTCATGGTGGGTGCTCAGGCCATTTCTGAAGAATACACAAAGGAATTTCAGACAAACTAGAAAAAGCCTCACTGGGAGAGCCCTGGGCGTGCTGAGGGCCGAGTATTGGGTTGCCAGATGAAATACAGGACAACCTAGCTAAATCTGAATATCAGACAACAAGTAATCTTTTTTAGTCTAGGTATGTCCCAAATATTGCATGGTACCTACTTATACTGATTTTTTTTCATTGTTTATCTGAAATTTGAATTTAATCAACATCCTCTATTTTTATTTGCTAAATCTGGTGACCTTGGCTGGGTGGAGTAAGGGCCATCAGGAGGCCCATGTGGCCATGGTGGGGAGCAAGGTAGGGAGAGGCTGGGTGAGTAGGTTTCCAGAGAGGTTGGGGAAGACCAGAAGTTCTGGTATAAATCCAGCTTGTGGCCAGAGAAGACAGCAGTAATGAAAACTTACTTACCTGGAACTTACAACCATATCATCTGGTGGAACAGAGCCTCGGGAAACAAGGACAAACTTACCTGTTTCCCAAGGATCTGCTCAAATGTCCCTTCCCCAGCCTTTTCCATCTGTCCAACCACTAAAGGCCATTATCTTCAAACTGATGTCTACAGGACACACCCAGAACGTGGAGTGTTCTTCTCCAAGTTAATCGCCCAACCCTTCCCTTAAGAGCAGAAGCTGACTCTCCTTCTCCTAAGACACCTAGAAAGAATCAGTCATTGGTGTAAAACAAATGGATTTCAAGATGAAAATTCCCAACTCTTTACAGTCCACCTGTGCTCTATAATGTTGGGCCAGTTCTGCAGCCGCTCCCTGTTTCAGTTTCCTCATCAGTAAAACAACCAAACATACTTTATAAGGTAGTCACTGTAAAGTACCTGAAACAAGCCTGGCATATAATAAGTGCTCAATAAATATTAGCTCTTAATCTTTACTACTATTGCTCACACAGTGCTTGCTGAGATAAGTATCTCCCACTGATTTTTCTCCTAGAATGCTATTGCACTCTAGTTCTTCCCTATGCTCCATGGCAGGTAGGATGGCTTGGGGAGATTTCCTTCAACCTGAGCAAAGTGCAGGCTGTGCAGGTAATGAGATATCACATTCCTTCAGTGAAACAATCTTTTGGCACGAGTTCCCTATGACCATGGCTATGCATCTATGTTTCTAGCAATATTAGAGCCCATTTATAATGATTTATGGTAATTATACTGGACAAGAGTTTGATGGCTATTAGGCCTCTTTATTTGGCTGGAAAATATTTGAAGCATGAAGCTGTGTGAGACAATCAGCACCAGCACCATTACGAAAACATCCTTGTATTTGGAACCAATTTGGACTGTCATTTTTAATATCACGGATTATTCATCTTCAGATTCCAAGTCCTTAGTATCTGTGTTCTGCTGCTTCAGTATCTAGAGGATGTCGAGTAGCAACAGGCCTGTCCTGGGGGTGGGCAGCCAGGTAGGCATCAGCCCCCAGGGACTGATTCACAGCGGATGCCAGATCCTCCCAACACAGCTTTTCCCCAGCATCATTTCATCTCCCCTTTTATGGAAAGACACTACCGCAAGGGACATGCCACTGAAAGTACTGCCTCAATGTCCCCTCTTCTTCCTTCTCCTGAAGAGGGAACAGAATAATTGGGGCTGTCCTCTAGCCAACACACACCATGAATTTATATTGGCTGTTTGGGGCTGGCATACATGCTGAACCCAATGTTCAAATTGAATATCACCCCTGAATAAAGCAGTCACGAAATTATAATAAATAGGAATTTCTCAAGCTGTGCCTTTGCCTTGCCAAAATAGCTGGATTAAAAAGTTTAAAAAATAATTAACAGGCCAGATGTTTAATTTTCCACAATGACAAATACAACATTCATCTATATTTCTTCTACTTTCCATCTGAATATTTCAGAGTAACATAGACAAGCACTCTGGCTCTTTTTCAGATTACTCCAACCTCATATGTGAACGTTATTTTCTATTAATATTTTAGTTGTAGATGGACACAATACCTTTATTTATTTATTTTTTGTTTATTTGTTTATTTTTGTGGTGCTGAGGATCAAATTCAGTGTCTCATACATGCTAGGCAAGTGTTCCACCACTGAGCTAGACCCCCAGCCCCTTGTATGTGTACATTCTTTACAAGCACAAGAAAGTAGAAAGACTCTGCCCAGGAGGACCTGAATTAAGGTCATGAAAACATAAAGTCAACCCATGGCCCGTGTCTGTGCCCAGATGCCCCTGCAGTGGGCTCCTGGGCCCCTCCACAGTCTCCAGGGACCCCTGGAAAGATTTCTCTCCCCAAAAGCAAGTTGCCATAGGATTCCTTTGACCTTCAATTTAATGAGAAAGAACAATGAAGCAATTACTGGGCAAGGGTTCCAGGGCTACCTGGACTTGGCAGGTCCGATTCATTTAACCTCTTCTTTGTTTGGAAACTCAGATTGACTTTAATGATGTAAAATAAAGTGGCTTCCAGGAGCATCTCTTGACACTAATGGAGCCTGTATGCCCTTTTTTAAAAATAGACATTGAAATATGTAAGAACACCCATGTCACCGTGGGACGCCCACTTACCAAGTTTTGGCCACTTTAACTACTCCTGATAATTAGACTCTGTAAAACTGCAGCCATTTCGCTTGTCTCCATCTGGGAAGAAAATTCATTGTTTTAATATCCACTGGTAAACTTAGAATTCTATTTGCCCAGAGAAAACTCATGAAACAAGCTGGAGATAAGAACAGGAAAAACAACTGTGATGTTGGCGCAGGTGATTGGAGAACCTCCCTCTCCCTCTCCTTGACCCCTACCCTGGGCACAGGAGGGTGCATAGGGAGGCAGCACAGGTCGGCCTGACACTGATGGTTTTAGACTATCTGTTCTCTGCTCCTCCCAAGGGCAGGTCAGGATTGGGGCAGCTGTATATCAGAAGGTCATTTACAGGAGGAGCCTGGGGAGTGCCAGAAATGACTCCAGCCTTCCTTCCTCCGAGGGATGGCACAAACCTGGAGGGTCTTACAGGGCGGGTGACCACATGGCTTGCTGGGGCCCGGGGAGCAGCTTTCTACTTTAGTTAACTAAAGCCCACAGTGCTGACTGGTGGCCTAGCCCCAGACTATGGACAATGAACAGCAGGCATCTCAGAGCCCACTGCATGCCTTTCCCATTCACTTTCCTATGAGCCTAAGACCCAAAGCTCAAACGGCCATCTTGACATCTCTAGGTGGAAGAGTCAAGCTCAACACATTCAAGCCACACTTAGATGTTTCCTCCCCGCTACTGCTATCTGCTCCCCTTCCCACACCCCCTGTCTCAAGAAGGACCCTCCAACCTTCCAGCGCAAAACTCAGAAGCCTCAAAGTCACCTCCCTTGTCCTCAGCCCTGATACAGAGGTTCTTGGTGCCTGGCCCATGTAGGAACACTGACACATGCCAACTTTTAGAATCTACAAAAGGTATCCCGGGAAACCATCTTTCCTCAGAAGGAGGTCTGGAAGTGTCAGGGAGCTGGAATTCTCCAGGAGCAGCCTTTGAGCAATGATGCAAAACTCCCTCATTCCTCTGAGATGTATGTTCCACACTGTGTGACCAAGTTTCCTGGTAAGTTTAAACTCCAGTTGCCCAACAGCAGGACCCACTTCACGGACATGCTACATGGGCAGCTAGCTGCAGGATCCCCATGCTTAGAAGGGACCCGTGCTGGGCTGGGTGCTCTGCCACCAGCACTTTGAAATTCTTAACAACTTATGAGCAAGAGGCCTCCAATTTTCACTCTGTATTGGGCCCTGCAAAGGATGTAGCTTGTTCTGCCCAAGCTGACTTGAGAAGGTCCTGGCTACCTGCCTTCTTCTCTCCCCGTCTCTTTTCCCTGCTTCCTGGTCAATATTTTCTGGCCTCTCAACTAAACAGCTTGCCCTACAATCCTTGTCCCTTCTGAGAAAAGCCAAACCAAGACCCCTTCACATCCATTTCTTGGGAATCTTCCTGCTTCCCTCCCTCCATCTGCACCTTACCTTGGTGCTCATTCTTGCTTGGTCACTGCAGTGGTCGCCACATCCACTAGGCTTCCTCCTTCTCAGAAGCCACAGGGTTTCTTTGTCATTATAACAAAGCTCCTCATGTCATCTTCTCTCTTGCAGTGGTTGACACTGGATGATGTACATAAAGGCCTGTCACCTCATGTTCTATTTGGGAGCATACTTTTTAAATCCCATAATAAAAGTTAAATTAAAATTACTTCCCATTGCTCTTATCACAATAGCACAAATCACTGTGGCCCCTAAGAAACTGCAGGATCGGACAGCCCTTGGTTTCTTTCTCTGTAGACCAGCCTTTCTTTTCCTCAAGCTGGATTCATTTCCTCCTCAGGGCTTTTGCACATGCTATGCCTTCTGTCAGGAATGCCCTCTTTCCTCATATTTCTCATTCCTCTCTAATACTTCTTTGCCTAGATACTTAACCTCTCTGCTTCTTGGTTTTTCTTCATCTGTAAAGCAAGAATTATCTTGCCTAGCATGTGCAAGGCCCTGAGTTGATTTTCAGCACCCAAAACAACAACAACAAAGGATGATAATAGTTCTTACCTCCCAGTATTTTCTTATAAGATTGTTCTTAGAATAAAAGTGCCAGGCACAAAGCAAACACTTCATAAACACCAGCTACTATCAGTGTAAGTACAATGCCATACCTTCTTGGCTTGAAGTAAAATCGTCATTCCAGGAATCTCAGTCACGTTTATCCTGTGGCTTCAAAGGACCCCGAATTCCCTCTAGTTGTACGTTCAAAAGATGGAAGAGCAAGAGCACTAATGCCAGGCCAGCAAAGTGTTGTCTGGGGACAGCGCCAGCAGGCCATCCCTCAATTATGGTGACAATCAAGTGAACCCTAAAGATATCGAGGGCCTATAAGCACAAAGCATGATTATCACATGCAGGACCCAGGGCTACAGCCAGCCCTCAGTGAATCAGAAGCCCCAAGGCCTGCACTGGCCTGTTCAACCGGTTCCATCAACTGTTGCTGGCCTTTGATTGGATGTTCACACATTTAATCAGATTCAACCTGAGGTTATCAGTAATAACCAGGATGCCAAAACTTCCTCTCTGTGAGTTAGCTAATTTCATGACTTACTATGTGGTGATCTGATTCAAGTTTAATTGGCTACCTGCGTGTCCATAGAAATCCCCAGGGCAGCAGTTTCAGGGGCATCATTTTCTAGAGTTAGGAAGGGGAGAGCATCCCATAATTACCATATGCCAAGTAGTGTCCAGCCTCTGTGCCAAACTTTAAGGCCCCTACCATGTGCTATCTCACTGATCCATCACAAACTTACTCTTCTTTGAGGTTCTGAAGCTTGGGAGAGTGAAGAAACTTGCTTGAGAGCACCCTGGCAAGATTCAAAACCAGGTCTGTCTGGCCCCAAGACTGAAACCTTTCTCCAAATTCCATTCAGCGTTTCCCAGATCCAGGATTCCTGGACTCCATCCCCTCATCTCTGATTCAGAAAATGTGGGGGTTGGGCCTGAACAATTTTTAAAAGTTTCCTGGGAAGCCCCAAAGATGTAGATTTAAGAAAAATTTACAGAGCTAGGCAAGGTGGCACAGGCCTGTAATCCCAGCAACTCTGGAGGCTGAGGCAGGAGGATCTGGAGTTCAAAAAGCCAGCCTCAGCAAAAGCAAGGCGCTAAGCAAGTCAGTGAGGCCCTGTCTCTAAACAAAATAGAAAATAGGGCTGGATATTGTGGCTCAGTGGTCGAGTGTCCCTGAGTTCAATCCCCTGTACCAAAAACAACAACAACAAAAACAACATTTACAGGAAGCAACTCTTTCCTCAGATCCAAACAAAATAGCCTCATGAGGTTTAGTTTGTGATTTTGGTTCAGTTTAACCACTGGCTTTAAACTATAAACTAATCAACCTGAGTTTATTTTAAATTATACCTGATCTTATTTCAAATCAGACTTTTAGCCTCTCGATATAGCTTTTTATTTACTGACTAAACCTCTGTTCCAAGGAAGCATTTATTCCATGACCGTGCACACTGCAGCACCCCCCGCCGTACACACCCACCATGCTCTTCTCACATTGTAAGCTCTTAGAGGAAGAAATTGGGTACCTGTCACTTCACCGCACACAGAAAGACATTTAATCTGTTTCTTAGCCCAGCACACGTGGCTTGATAGCAAAAGGCATTTTCCTTGTCGCCTTCTCATATTACAGCAACAATTTTGGCTCCTGGAGTTCTGTAGACTCCTTTTTGGCAGGAAGATTAGACCAAGAGCTGCATTAAAGATACAGCCCTGTACCCTCCAAGGTATTAACAGACGGGAATCATGTCGGAGCTTCCTAGAGCAGAACCATCTCTGCAGTCGGAGCTGTGAGTCTGAACCAATTCAGGAGAAGTTGCTACTTATGAAAAGAAGACTCCCTGAGCTTATAAATGGATTATTTTAATGAACTTCTTGCCCTGCTTCTGATTTCAGCACTGGAGCATCCTGGATCATGCTTCTAACAAATGTGTTTCCCAACTCAAAACTTGGGCTTCTGATAAGAACCACTTTGACTAAGTCCTGAAGTCTATTTAGATAAATAGTATCCTATTTCATATGGACCATATTTCTATTAAAACACTATAACCCTCTTGTGTTCCTCTACCACTTGCAGAAAGCCTTAAGGAGTAATAACTAATTTAATAGCTAAAATAAATGCTTAAATCCATTGTAGAATCAGCAGCCAAGTCACGTTCCCCTAAAATTATAAAAGCAGGAACTGAAGACAAGGAAATCCAATAAGGCCAGTGATTTCAGCAATATGGCAAACTGGCCAAAACCAGGAGGGTTAATAAGCACCGGAAAAAAAACTTTTGCAGTCTCAGAGTGTCATCAACCAAGGAGCCACAAATTAGGGGGAAAAGAAGAAGAAGAAGAAGAAGAAGAAGAAGAAGAAGAAGAAGAAGAAGAAGAAGAAGAAGAGGAGAAGGTTGAAAAGAGGAATAACAGTGAGAGCAAAGAAAACCAGGAAACAAAATTAGACAATCCTGTTGAAAATGTCAGCAAGGATGAGGCCCAGTCAGGTAGTCAATGAAAGAGAGCTAATAAACACAAGTGGGTACCACTGCACTTAGATGATTCTAAGACCAGAGAGTCAGGAGAGACCTGGATCCACAACAGTTTTCAGTGTTAACCTGAAGCAAATAAATCACCCCATAACAGGAGAAATGACACATGAAGTTGGAGGCAAGACAGACAAAAAAGAGATGACAGTGTAAGGGGTGTGTGGTAATATCCAAAGCGTCCAGTGTAAGGAGTAAGGGGGGTAATATCCAAAGTTCCTTAAGAGGCTGAGGGAGAGGACAAGGATAGGGAAGAGGAGGAGGAAGAACTTTGATTATTTGTATGATTTCACGGTGAAAAGACAGAGCAACCATTTCAAATAGAAATTAACACCATTATGATGGATTACTATGACGATGGTACAGGTGTACAGGAGTATCCTGTGGAAGAAGCATTGCTTAAAGAGTATATTAAACATCAAATTGAACATTACTTCAGTATAGAAAACTTGGAACATGACTTCTTTCTTCAGAGAAAGATGGATGAGCAAGGCTTCTTGCCTATTTCCCTGATTGCTGGATTTCACCGTGTGCAGACTCTCACTACAAAACTTAATCTCATTTTAGAGGCCCTGAAGGACAGCACAGAAGTAGAAGTTGTGGATGAAAAAAATGAGGAAAAAGATAGAACCAGAAAAATGCCCAATCCCGGGCCCTCCTCCCAGAAGTGTGCCACAAACAGACTTCTGTCTGCTGATCCATTGTCCAGAGTTCGTGCCAGGCCAAACCCAGTCGGGGTGATGATCTACTGATGGCCTGGATGTCATCTGATGGGCATGTGCAGTGGAACAGGTGACTCACTGAAATGCACTGTAAATACTGGAACAAACCATGCTGCAGAGATGGAAGCCACTAGAGTGCCTTCTGTGTGACAGTGTCTACTGCCGACCACCGGGCAACATGACAGTGGAGGTAACCAACTCTGCCACAACAGGAGACAGAGACAGAGATGGCTGCTGGCATTTCAGGAGCTGCCTGACCTTTTCCGTGTGACTGGACTTAGGCCACGTGGCTACTTTTATTTACCGGGGAAGCTAATTATTATCACTGTGGAGATAAAGCAAGGTTCAGTCTTTTGTTCCCAGGAATATGTACTTGTATCTAGATCAATAAAGCAGAGAAAGAGAAGACTGTGTGGTGTTTCCCAGCGTGCCAGGCCCTGGCTCTTGATCTGCTATTTGCCATGGTGAACACTGGGTAACTCACGTTTTAAGATGTTTCACGTGAGTCAAGTGTGGTGGCTCACACCTCTAATCCTAGCAGCTCAAGAGGCTGAGACAGGATTATGAGTTCAAAGCCAGCCTCAGCAACTTAGCAAGGCGCTAAGCAACTCAGTGAGATTCTGTCTCTAAATAAAATACAAAATAGGGCTGAGGATGTGGCTCAGTGGTTGAGTGCCAAAAAAAAAGATGTTTCACGTGGACTGTAAGATTTACTAATGTGGACATTTAAGGGGTAAAAAGTTGAAGAAATAAAAAAGGGTGTTTTTTCCATTATTCTTCAAGATGTATTTTTTGACACATCAGTATAAGTCCTGCCCATCAGAAAAGCATTAATGATGGACAGTTTCACAAGAAATTTTTATCTTATATTTCTTTGTCATCCCTGTGCTTCTAATCCCAGCAAGCAACTTGGGCAAGTGTTTTAAAAGTTGAAGAAATGCGACATTACTAGTTTGCTTGTTTTTTAAAGATATAATATCTGATTGTAAAAGTTAGATTTACTTATTGTATAAACTTGGTCCAAGATGACATTTTTAACCAGCTTATGAACAATCATCGGTAATTTGTATAATATAGAAAATACTTTTTCCACAAGATATTTAATTTAGGTCAGTCAAGTTGGTGATATCTGTCCATTATGCAATTATGCATTATAAATAAAATTAAAAGAAAAAAATCATAAAAAAATCCATTGTAAAAAAATAGTAATAGGGCTGGGGATGTGGCTCAAGCGGTAGCGCGCTCGCCTGGCATGCGTGCGGCCCGGGTTCGATCCTCAGCACCACATACAAACAAAGATGTTGTGTCTGCCGAAAACTAAAAATTAAATATTAAAAATTCTCTCGCTCTCTCTTTAAAAAAAATAATTTAAAAAAATAGTAATAATAGCACAGCCACACTTAAGCATTTAAATATAGATTGCTGGCTCTCCTAATGAATCTCTTTCCTGCAGACTTGGCCAGAAAAGATATTTTAGATGTCCACAGAATTTTTTTTAATCTAGGAAAATCAGAATAAATGACAGTCTAAATGGTGCCAAAACATTTGGATGAAGTGAAAAACTTTCAGTCAACTAAGTCTTATCTATACCACATCAAGAAATCTCTTTGAGCAGCTGTCAGGATGGCAGAGTGGTCTAAGGCGCCAGACTCAAGAAATCTCTTTGAACCAGGCATGGTGGCACAGGCCTAGAGTCCAAGCTACTAAGGAGGCTGAGAAAGGAGGACCACAAGCTTGAGGACAATACAGAAAGACCCTGTCTCAAAACAAAACAAAAAGGGCTGGGGACGAAGCTCAGTGAAAGAGTGCTTACCCAGGAGAGCAAGGCCAAAGGGAGTGGGAGTGCGTGCTTTGGGGAGTTGTTCAGAGATTGGTGCCATGCTGGAGGCCCACAGGCAGAGCCATCAGGTCACACAAACAAATGGACTACTTGGACAAATACAAGGACAAGGAGCTCAAGTACTGGCCCAAGGACATAGCAAAACTCCTCTCTAAAACCCATTTGATGCTGAATCTGAATGGAGGAATCTTGGCTTTCAACAGAGTCAGGATGGGTTTGTCATACAATCCATGAACTAGAAACTCACATCTCCTTGTTCTGACAGCCACTACCCAAGAAGCCGAAGAAATGAAGCTGGCGAGCCACTTTTCAGCCTCAGGCTTTACATAGCTGCTCTTACCTGCTAACATCTTTCTCATAACATGATTATGTTGCCTTCTTGTTTTCCACTTTGATCTTTAAATGACGTTCAGTGCACTGCTTGAATGTGCTGGTAACTAGGAATAGAGCCTCCACCACCATTGCCCTGTCAGATGAGTTCTCTGGGGACCCAGCCTCAGCTGGTTGTGACCCCAGAAGCCACAATGTGCTTATATCCAGCAGAACACACTTGGCAAATGAAGAATCTGAGAATCAGACCGCAGTTGTTACAGGGATTGTGTAAACTTGCTGTTTTGTTTTATCCTGCTGGGTGTTGTATGTAGGGTGACTTGTGGATTTACATTTCAATGTATAGGAAACTTTCCATTTTATTTCTGAAATCTGTTCCATACTAAAGCCTTGATTAAAGAGGAAATTTTTATAATATAAAAAAAGAAAAAAAGGGCTGGGGTTGTGGCTTAGCAGTAGAGTGCTTGCCTAGT